GAAGTGTTTTATCAAGCACATGCTACTACTTATAAAGGTGCTAATCTCTGCTACTCATGCTATTGGATGAATGGGTGATGGGTTAATTAAAGGCTGGATAGATAGATAAGATGTCAGTTTTCTGTGGCTGTGTAGCAAGCCATCTCCAAACTTAGTGAATTCAAAAATAAGTCATTTGTTTGTCTCATGAATCTGCAATTTAAACAGGACTCAGAGGGGATGGCTCATTCCTGCTCCACACAGCGTCAGCTAGGGTGGTTTGAGGCTGGAGGATCTGATTTCAAGATGGCATGCTTACGTGACTATCTGAGTTTGTTCTAATTATTGGCTGAGACCTCAGCAAGGGCTAAGAGCCAGCTTTGATTCTTCCCCATGTGGGTTCCTTTTTGTGGCCTGGGCTTTTCATTGCGTGGTGGCTGGATTCCAAAGGAGAGCAATCTCCCATAGAAAGAGTGCTAGGCAAAAGTTGTATGGCCGTTTATGACCTAGCCTGAAGAGTTATAAAGCATGACTTCCACCATACTCAATTACAGAGTTGCTCAGTCTCCACACTATTGACAATTTGGGCCACATCATTCTTTGTTGTGGGGCTGTTCTGTCCTCTTTAGGATATTCAGCAGTGGTAGCACCCTTCCCACCAGTTTGTGATGACTAAAAATGTCTCCGGACATTGCCAAATGTTCTCTAGAGGAGAAAACACCACCAGGTAAAAATCACTGCTCTATGTTTTGAGGCAGTCACAAAGGCCTGCTCAGGTTCCATCTATTTATAGGGAATAGCAAGGGTTTGGAAGAGCATGTAGGACAAAAAAATATATATATATATGTATATATATTTGTGGCCATTTTTTGGAAAATGTAATTTGCCACAGTAACCTTTTAACTAATGCTATGGGCTGAATATATCCCCCGTCCGCCGATTTAGATGTCAAAACACTAATCCCCGATGATATTTAGAGATGGGGCCTTTGGGAGGTAATTAGGTCATGAGGGTGCAGCTTTTAGGTGGGATTAGTGCCTCTCATAAAAGGAGACTTATCGGGAGAGAGCTTGCTCCTTCCCTCTCTCCGTGCCAACAAAAACAGGAAGAGGGCTCTTAATCAGGAACTGAAGTGATAGCACCTTGATCTTGGACTTCCCAGCCTGCGAGACTGTGAGAAATAAATTTCTGTTGTTTAAGGCACCCATTCTATGGCATCTTGTTATAGCAGCCTGAACTTAGACAACTGAAGAGTATACATTTTTTTCTACATATTTTCTGTGCTGATTATTAAAAATATCCCAGAGCTGTGGTGTCATCTCTGGCTGCACAGAATCCTCATCTTATTTCTTATTACAGAAGATGCCTCATTCTGAATGCACCACCTTGATAGTTTTGTTGACATCTGAATTACATGAAGCAATACTCAAGTCAAAAGCCCTTAATACCATTAAATGAAATTATTTGCGTTATCGTCCAAGATATTGGAGCATTTACCTTTATCTTGCCTGGTATTCCCAGGCTACAAATTCATGATGCATAGATGTAATATCTTTTCATTAATTTTCAATCTTCATTGATTATTTTCTAATTTTTAGAGCTGCATAACTCCCTTTCTGTGCTTCTACTGTCAGATCACCTCAGTGAAACCTCTTACTCTATTCTATGAAACTTAGTAAGAGTCACATTTTCTCTAGTATATCAGTGTAATTTCTCTAGTTTATCAGTGATTCTGTTGTGCAGCATCAGAATAAAATAAGTGTATTAGATGCCTATTTTCATATCAACAGGAAGTCTGAAATTTTAAAATTCCTAGTTTAAGAAGTAATTAGAAGTAGCAATTTTCTTTTTCTAAAGCAGAGCTTAAAGCTTTGCCCCAAAATATTTAAAATTATCATTTAGAAGTATTCCCTCCTACAGATCTATCCCGTGAAAGATGCCCTGTACCATTTCTTCTCTAATCCTTCCAGTACTACCATGACAACTCCCTGAAGAAGATTTGGAGGGCTATGGAATGTGGGCTTTCATTCTCAGTTTCATTTTATAAAAAGATTTTGAAGGATATGACTTCATTTCAGAACTTGTAAAGACTTTCCATAAAAACCTATCTCATGCTTTTGAAAAATGAGGCTGTCTACCATTTCTGAGTATATTCTATGTAGATTATCTCTTAAATGTCCACAAGAACTCAGTGAATGCTTACTATTACTATCCCTACTTAACAACAGGATAACTTGCCTCAGGTTTCTCATCTTATTAGTGGCAGAGCCCTAATTAACTTGAGGGTTCTATACTTCCAGCAGTCAAAAATGGAGGCAGAAGCTTGGCTACATTGTCAGGCTACACTGTGTGCTTAGACTTAGCATTGGAGTGGGGGGTTGGGGGAGCCAGGCCGGATGAACCAGCCAGGAGCCACGTGAGTGGGCATTTTTCCTAATTATCCTTTGCTATGTAAAATGCCACTCCAAAATTTAGTGGCTTAAAACAACAGTTGTTTCTCATGATTCCATGGCTTGGCAACCTGGATAGTCTTGCCTGGGAATACTCATATGTTCACAGTCATCTTGGATTGGGTTCTAGATGCCTCACTCACATTTCTGGTTGACGGTGTTGGCCGTTAGCTGAGGTACCTTGACTCTCCTCCACGTGGCTTCTCCTCCTCTACTGATTTAGACTAGGCTTTTTCCAGTGTGGTGAGCTCCAGGTTCCAAAAGTGAGAGTTGAAGCTGCATCATCTCTTGTGGCTAGGCTCTGGGACTGGCACATTCTTTTGGTCAAAGGAAGTCACAGGCCTCCACCTCTGAATAAGAGGGGCAGCAGTATTGTGTTGCAAGGGGGCATAGACATAGGGTATCATAATTTGGGGGGGGCATTATTATAACCCTCATCATAGTATTTCTGTATCAGGTATACACTGCTATATAACAAATCACCCCCAAATTTAGTGGCTTACAAGAATAACCATTTTATTGCTCATAAATCTGTAGATCAGGAACTCAGGCACATGTTGATGGGGCTTGCTTTTCTTGGGTCCATATGGTGCTGACAGGGGCAGCCAGCTGGGCCTGGAGGGCCCAAGGTAGCCTCAGTCATATGTCTAGCACCTGATCAGGGATGTCTCAAAAGATGGGGCTCTGTGTGGGCTGACAGGGCCTCTGTCTTCTCGTGGTGGCAGCTGGGCTCATGCGTATGTCTGGATCCTTGGTTTTCTCCATGTGGCCTTTCCTACCACATGGTGTCTCCTCCAGAGCCTTCGTCATAGCCTTTCTCTTGAGTTGGATAGACTGGACCTCCTTCCATAGCAGCTAAACTCCAAGACCGAGAACAGACATACTCAGGCCTCTGATGGCCCAGGCCCAGAGCTGTACAGAGTCACTTCTTCCATGCCCCTTCAGTCAAAGCAAGCCATGAGACCATCCCAGATTCAATGGTGGGTGAGTAGACTTCACCTCTTGATAGGAAGAGGAACATGATTTGTACAGGGATGAAAGGGACTATTGAAGGCCATCTTTGTGAACTGTGTACCAGAGTGCTTGACTGAATATGGAAGTATGAGAAGCTAGGGTCAAAGGGTTAGTCTAGGCTGGTGGCTACCCAAACAGGTACTAACCAAATTAACTCAACAGTAAGAAAAGGCAACTATGCATGAAGGAAATACCAAGATTTCTATCAAGTAGTGAATCAAGTAGAAGGAGAAAACATAGGACAACGATGGAGAAAGTAAATGGGATATGTTCTGGACATGGAGTTACCATGTTAGCTGGCTGTAAGGTGGTCAAACAGGAAACCTTGCAACCTCTGCAGCTGGAGGGACTGTTTAACTGTTCCATAGGAAGCACCAGGGGGTACATGTGTCTTCCCCAAAGCATTTTGTCCAGATCAGACTAATGTAGAATTTATCCTCCCACCAAACGGATGAGATCATAAAATATCTCTTCCATCACCACAGCTTGGGCAGAACCCAGAAGCAGATGGCCAGACAATATGGAGGCTCTAATTAGGGAGAGAAAGCTGCAGGGCCACCAAAATAGAAGGAGACATCTTCTGTTGGGGTAGTAACTAGGCAGTTGTAGGCATTTGGCAGAGTGTTTTAGAAGAAAATAAAGGCTTATTTTGTCTGAGTGTGCTATACAAGGTCCAGGTGAAATTTTATTGCTCCAAGTGCCTTTTTTTAAACCATCCATTCCACAAAGAAGTATTTTTGGTTTGATTTTTAAAGATTTGAACAACTTCTGATATTCCTGACCTTGGTAGAACTGAAGGTGATAAATGTTTTCAACTTTATGCATTTAATATTCTGTGTCCATGCAGACTCTTTCTCCAATCCCAAGGGCAAGTATTTTCATGACAACAGCAATAACAATAATAATAAACAAATCATATTTAAGAGAAATGTTTGCCTTTTTCAATGTACATTCACATTTGTTATTTATTTATTTATTTAAAATGTTTATTTATTCATGAAAGTCAGAGAGAGAGAGAGAGAGGCAGAGGCAGAGGGAGAGGGAGAAGCAGGCTCCCCGCCTAGCAGGGAGCCCGATGTGGGACTCGATCCCAGGACCCTGGGATCATGACCTGAGCCGAAGGCAGACGCTTAACCATCTGAGCCACCCAGGCACCCTTGTTATTTATTTTTTATCTCATTTTGTCTTACTGGTTCGTCTGGGTTTTCCCATGATTCATGGAACTCTGGAATATCAGAAGCTATGAAACAAAATGGTGCTACACACATCAATTTCCTTTTAATCATTTGAGCATTTTATTATTTCCTGCCCTAGTTTACAAGTTCCCTATTTTTAGTGAAAAGCAAAAAACATCATATTTGGAAGCCAAAATTTAATTAGAACCCGTAAATGCTAATTTTGTTCTTCCTCTAATAAGAAACATTACTTGTTACTGTGTCCCCATTAACACACAAGATGAAAAGTAGTGGTGATATCTGTTTAATTAGATTGTTAAGGTTTGTTCACAGCTAATGAGTACAGTGCTCATCAGTAGGTTGACTTAGACAGGGAGAGAGCATGGCTGTAAAGCCCCCCCACCCCCACCCGCGGCAGTCCCCAGATGAAGGACGTTTCAAGGCTCGTGAGATAGGCCCAGAGCAGATCCAGATTTGGTGCGGCCTGACAATGTTGCTCCCTCAGGGACTTGGAAGGGGCCCTTGTGGGCGAGCTGCTCTGAAGTTAACTAAAGCTGCACCAGCTTCACAGAAAGTGGGGCTAGAAGAGCCGCAAGGGCTGGGCCCTGCGGAGCAGAGAGAAGTGAGTGGGAAGGAGGGCTGTGGAGAGGAAGGGGTAGGAAGCACTCTTACAAGAAGTTTGCTGTAAAACAAAGATGAACTAATACTTGGTTTTTAACGTTCTCCTGTTCAGTCACAGCACATGTGGGACATCGAGAAAATAGTTATGGCAACAAGTGCATGCCACATTTCTCCCCTGGACACAAAACTTGGACAAAGTGAAGAATGGCCTTCTGATTCGTTCTGATGCCTGCATTTTTTTTTTTTTTGCAGGTAATTTTGTTCTTTTTGAAAAAGGAATCTAAATCGTAGTGCAACATTATAAACTGAAATTTGACTCTATCCTGGACATTTATTCTCTCAAACTGAAAGGGAAAGAGATGACAAACTCTAGAGGATACAAAGTAACAAAGACAAAGCACTCAGCCTGGTTGTCTTTTTCTCAACCGGAACCAGCAGGGGAATTTCAGAACTCTCTTCCCAGCAAAGGGCTTCTTGGGGAAGAGTGTGTTGGTTATTCAGGAAAGATGCCTCAGGACGCCGTGCTGCACGCGTTTATATGATAGTAACTGGAGGCCACAGTAAGAATAGGCAAAGGAAAAAAAAAAAAGAATAGGCAAAGGAGAGCCGCCCCAGGTCGCCTCGCGGGCGCCATACACTTCCGCTTCCTGTTCTTTATTCCGGAAGTTGCTTTCTGAGGTAGCGCGTGGTCTTTGTCGGCTTCCACCGTGGCGTACCGTGGCCAGGGCCAAAAAGTGCAGAAGGTGATCAATCTCATCTTCAGATACTTGCAAAATAGATCTCGAATTCAGGTGTGGCTTTATGAGCAAGTGAACTTGCGAATAGAGGGCTGTATCATTGGTTTTGATGAGTACATGAACCTCGTATTAGATGATGCCGAAGAGATTCATTCTAAAACAAAGTCAAGAAAACAACTGGGTCGGATCATGCTAAAAGGAAATAATATTACCCTGTTCCAGAGTGTCTCCAACTAGAAATGATCAGTGAAGTGAGAAATTCTTGAGAAGACCATGTAGTTTGTTTTTTTAGATGTCCTTTGTTGTGAGTGTAGTTTTAAAACATTTGTTCGGATTGTTTTGATTACCTTTATGTTATTACCAGAGGACAATAAATGCTGTGGGATTGCTTTTATTAAAAAAAAAAAAAAAAAAGAATAGGCAAAGGAAAATATTTGTTAGCTCCCACTTGTTCTCCAGGCCTTAGCCCAAATGTCACTTCCTCTAAATACCTTCCTGACCTTGCCAGGGACTGCTCAGTGCTTATCCTTTGGCTTCCTTGGGGCCTTGTTCATATTTCTTTTAGGCTATTTAACACACTGCACAAATTATTCCTCCATACCGTACGCCGACATCTTTTAGCCTTTAAGTCATGAAAGATGAGGACTACACTTTAACCATACCCCCGGCCCCCTTAAACATTCCCAGGCCCTCACTTGATAATTGGCTTATGGTAAACCTTGATCGAGTTTATGGAGGCATTCTGGTTTACATAAAATAAAGTGCACTTACTTTAAGGTACAGTTCCATGGATTTTTGACAAATGTTTATTCCTGTGTAACCAATAACCCTGAATCACTTTGTATTTCAGCACTCTAAATATTTCGCTTCATTTTCTGCTTGCATGCATGGTTGGTGATAAGAAGTCCACTGTAATTGCTATCCTTATTCTTCTCTAGGTAAAGTTTTCTTTTTCTCTGGCTTCTTTCCAGATTTTTCTCTTTGTCTTTGGATTTTGTAGGTTGAATATGATATGCCTAGGGGTGCCTGGGGGGCACAGTTGGTTAAGGGGCCAACTCTTGATTTTGGCTCAGGTCATGATCTCAGGGTTGTGAGATCAAGCCCTGCTTGGCATTCTCTCTCTCTTTCCCTCTTCCTCTCCCCACCCCAACTCCACTCATGCTTTCTCTATCTCTTAAAAAAAAAAAAAAAAAAGGATATGATATGACTAGATGTAGATCTTTTGGTATTTATTGCTTGATGTTTGCTGTGATTTGGTGTCTGCCATTAATTTTGGAAAATTCTCAGCCATCAGCGACTTCAGTTATTTCATCTGCTTTGCTTGCTCTTCTCCTTCTGGTATTCTAAGTATGTGTACACCACACTTTTTCAAATTGTCCCACAATACTTGAATGCTCAATTCATTTGTTTTGTTTCATTTTCATTCTTTTATCTCTTCACCTTTCAGTTTGAAAAATTTCTGTTGACATCTTCAGGCTCACTTCTTTCTTCAGTTATGTCCATTCTACCAATGAGCCCATCAAAGAAAGATACTCTCATTTCTATTAATGTTTTCTCTTTCTTGAATTTCTTTTGGCTTCTCTATTAGACTTCTCATCTTTCTGCTTACATTATCCATGTGTTCTTGCATATTATTTACTTCTTCCAGTAGAGTCCTTAACAAATAAATTATAGTTATTTTAAATTTCTTGTCAGATAACTCCAAAATCTGTGTCCTAGCTGGCTCTGGCTCTGATGATGCTTTGTCTCTCCAAACTATATTTTGTCTTGCCTTTTATCCTGTTTTGTAATTTTTTTTTTATTTGGTTGAAAGTCAGGCATGTTGTATAGGAAAGTAATAGGAAATGGGGTAAAGGCCTTTAGTATGGGGTTTTATGTTAATTTGGCTAGGAGTTGAGCTATATTTAATGTTTGCTATAGACACAGATGCCAAATTAACCCAGTGTCCTTGTTTTTGTCTCCCATGTTGTCGTTCAGCTTCCCTCAAGACTCCTCCTTAAACTGAGTCTGAGCTTTGCAGCTCCTTCAAGCTGTAATCACTGTTACTATCCTGGAGCCTTGCTGAAGTGGTCGTGGTGTCAGGGAGGAAAACATTCTATAATCATGTGATTAAATCTCAGTCTTCTAGGGGGCCTGTGTCCCTAGGTTGTCACCTTCACGAATGTTTCTGAGGTCTTTTTTTCCCATCCTTAGGTGATACAGGAAGGCTGGACGGAGTGGACTTTCTAGATGCCCTTTCTGTTGGGCAAGTAGGCTCTGGTGGGTCTTTCCTCCTGGGGAGTGAGCCTTTATTAGAGGGCGTGTTCTGGGGCTCTGAGTGTATTTCAACAGAGCTACCATCCTCCTGTCCCTCCTAGAGCCACAAAGGGAACACATGGTAGAGTTCCCGAAGGTAAAGCCCATGAAAGTGTGAGGGTCGCCCTATCACTGCAGTTGCGAGGAGTTTCTCACTCTCACACTCATCCACACTTGGTCTCCAGCTATTCATCACTATTACCATTAAAGTGTTCTTAAAAGTTTAGAACTCTAGGGGGTTCTCCTCTCACCTCCATCCCCCTGTAAGCAGATCTGGCTGTGATTCTCTGTAGTCACCTCTGTCTCCAGATTTCTGGATAGTGGTTTGCCCTGTGACTTCAATTCCCGGATGGGCCCAAGAAAATCCCTTGATTTCCTGTTTGTTTGGCTTCTTTCTTGTTGTAAAGATGAGAGCAATAACTTCCCAGCTCTTTACATGTTGGAATTAAAACTGGAAGTTCCAGTTGACTTTTGTAACTATTATTATCTTGAATTTATAGATGAGGGAACTGGAACTATGGTATTGAGTGACTTACCCCCCAAAAAACTCAACTTACAAATGGCAGTGATGACTTCAGCCTTCAAAGTTAGAGTTCTTTCTTCTGTTTCTTATTACCACATCAGATACAGCTTTTGTCTTCTCCAGAGTTTGTAGCATAGCTGGGAAGTAGATGGGGCTGATTTAGAAAACAAGTCTACATGTTTAATAGAAGGCTGCAGTTCCTTCTGGTTGGAGGGAAACTAAGAAAGTCCTAATTAGTAGACAATTTCAGATAACTAAAACTTAGTTTTTTAGTTTAGTTTTTAGTCATCCTGGGGGCTATCCTCTTATTAAGTACCTTAATGCATCACCTAAATTATCTAAGGCTGACTATTTTAAACTTCAAAATTCTACTCATTAGCAGTTCCTAGAATAAACTTAGGGGGTCTCTAATTTTTTTAAGAATACAAAATAGAATAAAATAGTATAAAAAATCAGTCTCAGCTTACAATTTTAAAATATTGTTTTATCAAACTTTTGCTTATGAATCTTGATGTATTTTTATGTATGTATGTGCCGGGTCACGATGTAAAATATTTCTTGCTGTGAGTTATGGTAAAATAAAGTTTTACAGTACTAGGTCTCAGGAAGTAAAGGGAGTGGGGAATAAATCCCTATTTTTAAAAGAGTACATACACTACATATACTAGTTACTTAGCCTTCCCCTTCTCACTGAATTCGTATAAAAATGAAGAAAATCATTTACATACCAGATAAAACCTGAAGATATTTGGAAATGCCCAGAGAGTTAACTGAAATTTTCACTTTTCATGAGGTGTTTGATGATAAGATTTTGTTTGATGTCCCTTTGAGTCTTTAATATTTGGGGGATAAAAATCCCTGGGTCGAATCCAAAAGTTTCAAGATGATACAAAGTTAGTTTGGAGAAACCTGCATATTTCGGTGAACTCTAATGATAAATCAGATTTTACTTAAAGCCAAAATGTTATATTAATGAATGCCATAGTGCTGCCATTGTAAATTTAGACCCAGATGAACTTAAAACGATAAAAAGTTTCATTGTTAGTAATTAGTCGATCTCTTCTCTTTACTAATGTTTAATTTTTGTAAGATCTTGATAAACCTCACAAGGTAAACATCTAACAGATTGTTCCTTTTTGAAATAGTCCTTAATGTACATTGTCCTATTGGAAATAGCATCTATATTTTCATTCAGATAATTCCTGTTTCTCAGATTCCCTAAAGACACCAGGATTTACAAGTTGAACTGTTTGACCTTAATGTGGGTCATATATACTTTTGTGATGTGGCGGGATTTTCATTGTACAGCTGGATCTAACAGGTCTGAAGCTATAGTGGTATGGGTACGCCAAATCAGTGTTTTGGTAGCTTGGAGAAGTACATGGATATAGTAGACTTTGATAGTTCTTTTTCTACTTTTGAACATAACTTGGGCTAAGGAGCCTTCATTTGAAACTTTTATTTAGCTAATTAAACTGTCAAATGCTTATTTGACCAACTCAAGGCAAAGGAAAATAATATCCTGAGTTTTTGGAAGGGTAGGGGAGGCCTTTGAAGGGTGAGGTATAATATTTAAATGAAAAACATCCAGCCTGTCTTTGGGACCTCACTATCTTTCTTCATTCGTGTTGACGTTGCTTGCTTAGTAACTACCAGCTCCTTTACTAACATAATAGTACCAGACATTTTCATGTATTAAACTCTTTAAGGCTCACACAGCCCTATGAGGCAGGGTCTGTTATTACCTTCATTTATAGATAAGGAAACAGATTATGCAAGTTGCCCAAAGCCACATATCTATAATGAATAGAGGTAGAACTTGGATAAGCATCTGGGTCCAGTGTCTTCCCTCTAAATGCATTCATAACACCATCTGTTACTTAGAGATGAGCTCTGAAGAGGCAGCCCAGATGAAAGACTTTTCTAGGGCACACAGAACTGATGGCAACAAGCAAATTTTCTGTTGAGTCATTGCAATTGTTCTTAGAAACCACAGATGTTCAGAAGGGGCTTTAGAGATCATCCAAGCCAACACTTTCATTTTTAGACAAAGTAACCAAGACCAGAAAACCAAACACCACAGAGTCAAAACATGGTAAGAACAAGTTTTCTTTTTGAAAATAATTCTAGAGTCTCTGAGAAAATGAGTTTTAATTTCTACTAAAGATTCAAAGCTAAACAAAAGAAGAAATTTCTTCATATTCAGAACTGTTAAGCATTGAATGGATAAGAGGAAATTATGGAATCTTTTCAATTTCCGTAATATTTGAAGAAGTGTTTGCCTAAAACAAGGGTGATGAACCTGGGATAAGTGGTTATCTGTTGTTTTCTCTGCTTCCACTGACTCTTTTCTTAGGAATGACGTCCTGATTTTTCTCAGGGGAACATTCCCTCAGATGCCCTCTGTCCAGGCCTGTGC